TCTCTCTCTCTCTCTCTCTGGTGAGTACGGTGTGTGCACGTCCGTTGTGTTGCTCCTATCTCAACTGGATATATTTCTACCGCAAGCTGCCTTCGGGCTCTTTTGTTGCAGGTTTATGCAAGTCTTTTTGTTGCTCGTCACGTGCTGTTATTGGTACGCATCGGGCTTCGCCGAATTCCTGGTATTTTCGCGACGAGTGTTTCTCATTATTGCTGTACCATTTCTGAGAATCATTCCATGGAGGATGTTGTCTTCTTCTGCGCATGTGCCTGCCGCTTGATATGTACTTTCCTGCACTTGCGGTCCTGGAGTGCCGTTCGGTTCAGCGTCGATATCGACGTTTGTCGATCGATAGTATCGTGACTCGATTTGCCTCTACCGGCGCCTATACGGTGCGAGCATATCGTGAGTCCCTGTCAGTTGACTTCTCGCATCGTGTAACTTGGACCGCATCGTGTAATTTGGACCGAGCATGGAATCGCGCACGTGTGCCAAGTGTGGGAAGTCGATTGTCAACCAGATACTCGAGTGCGGGGTGTGCAGGAGGGTGTTCCATCCCGGCTGCATTAAACCCTATGCAGCCACCAAATATGCAGATAATTGCTGCAAATCTCTATTGGCTTCACTCGACCCCCCCCCTCCTTCACCGGCTATTGATGTGGGTGCGCATGCCTCTGACTTCTTAGGTGGATCATCGTGCGCTCGGGTGCAGGCTCAGTCTCGGGAGCGCGCCTCAATTGAAGTCATGCTCCAGGGACTGTGTGAGCAACTGAAGGACTCGGACACTAAACTCTCTGCCTTTGTTGACGAGCAGCGACGCACAAATAAGGAGATCAACGACAAATTGAACAAACTTAGCCTCATCGCGGACACTGTCGCTCATAACACCCAGCGCATCGACAAGCTTGAGCAAGAAAGCTCTGCTCTGGCGCGAGATGTCCAGGCTTTAAAGGCCGCTCAGCTTGTTCCGCGTGCCTGCGAGGAGATTGAGGGCGGCTCGGCTGCTGCGTCGCGCGTCCCTCGAACGTCGGATCTTATTATCTCCGGAATCCCATCGTCTCTCACTGAATCATCTTGTGAGCTTGTCGCGTGTGTTTTTCGTGCGCTGGGAATTCCTCAGCTTACTTCCGACGTTCTTGAGACTCGCGATGTAGCGGCGCGTGTTGCGTCCTCAGATCATGACGCTGCATCTGCGTCTGCACCTGTCGCAGATTGTGCTGGCGTTGGGGGTCGGCGCAGATCGGTCATAGTCGCGCTCAAGTCCCGCGAGATTCGTGACCACATCATTAGGATCATGCGTGGCAAGCGCCGATTGCCTATCAGCGACGTTTTCTCGACTAACATTCCTGGCAACGTTTTTGTAAATGAATTGCTCCCGATTCATACTTATAAGTTGCTGCGCCAAGCGCGAGTCAGGGCGAAGCAGCTGTCGTTCGCGCATGTGTGGAGTAGCGACGGGCGTGTTTTTGTCCGCAGAGACCGTAGCCAGCCGCCGATTTCTATCGCCTCCGAGGCCGATCTCGAGAGGCTCCAGTGACTCTCGGCGGCAGCTGTGGGTCCTCCTGCTTCGCGTGGTCGTCTCCGTATCGCGTGCTTCAATGCCTGCTCCCTCCCTGCCCATATCGAGTCAATCCGTGCTCATTTAATGTCTAATTTCTTTCATATTATCTCGATCTCGGAAACCTGGCTCCACTCTCACATTTCTGACGAATTAGTTCGTATCCCAGGTTACTGTCTGTTACGAGTGGACAGGGAGGGCAGGGAGGGAGGGGGCGTTGCTTGCTTTATCCACGACTCATTGCGTGCTCGTGTCCTGGCGTCGTCGCCGTCGTCCTTTTCTAATGAACCCGAATTCCTCGTTCTTGACATTCGAGGCGATGCTTGCGAACCTCTACTCTTCACCTCGATGTATCGCAGAAGGGTAAAAATTTCAGTAGGTTTCTCGATGCTCTAACTTCGCTTATTCATAATTATAAGAATATCATTATCTCGGGCGACCTAAACTGTGATCTCCTCTCCTCATCATATGAACCTAATCACCTCAGAGACATAGTCTCGCAATTGTCGCTCAACATTGTGGAGTCGCGTTCGACTTATCATACTCGCTCTTCCGATTCATGGTTGGATGTCTTTATTGTCGATAGCTTGGACAAGGTCTCTTCGTTTCGAAAGTCGGATGCACCCTTTATCAATGGTCACGACCTTATAGAACTCACGTATCTATTCGCCGTCCAGTCTCCCGCGGATCGTACATTGACCCGTCGTAGCTACAAGGAGTTTAACGAACACAGATATGTGGAAACTCTCACCTCCTTGCTGTCTTCATCTTTCGTGGTAGACTTTGGCCTTGAGAGCCTCAGTGAGCCTGACTTGGACGGCATCCTGAGTACTATAACCAAAGATTTCGCTTCTAGTCTCGACATCTATGCGCCCATCCGTACTTTTCGTGTGTATCGTCCTTCGGCACCTTGGCTCACCGAGGCTCTCGTACGTGGTATTCGGCATCGCAACCGTCTATATAATATCGCCCGAAGATCAGGTTCTGTTCTCGATTTTCATATTTATAAGCAGTACAGGAACAGTCTCACGGCAGAAATGAGGAAGGCTAGAGAGCACTTCAACATGACCAGATTAACCGCGATTTCCAATCCATCCAAGCTATGGCGCGAACTCACTAATCTTGGCCTAATCGAATCACCTTTATCCTCACCGCTGAATTACTTCTCACGCGATACTCTCAATGCTCACTACGCATCCATCTCAAACTGCTTTCCTTCCTGTACTCAATCTCAATTTTCTGACATCATTTCATCCATAGAGCCTGACAATCCTACTTTCAGTTTTTCCCAAATAACCGCTGATGATCTATGCTCTCTTGTCTCCTCATCTTCTGTCTCTCTTGCTTCAGGTTGCGATCACCTTCCACTGCATGCTATCGCATTGGCCCTGCCACACGTGAGTAATTTACTCACTTCATTCTTCAATAGTTGTCTCAGACTTAGTTACTTCCCGTCGTTGTGGAAGCGTGCCATTCTACGCCCACTGTCTAAAATTAAATCTCCTGCCTCTCCTTCCGACACGAGGCCCATAGCCAACCTATGCGAGCTCTCCAAGGTGTTCGAAAAGATTCTACATCGCCAGATTACCGATTTCATTGAATCTCATCATATTCTAGACAGTCGACAATCCGGCTACCGCAAGTGTTTTTCTACTCAGTCTGCCCTTCTGCGATTATTCCACGACATCAAGTATGGCGTTGATGTAGGCGAAGTGTTGATCCTTGTCCTATTTGATTTCAGCAAAGCTTTCGACACTGTCTCCCATCATTTGCTTCTTACCAAACTTAGGAAACTAGGCTTTTCTGATCAAGCTTTGAAACTAATTTTTTCGTACCTCACCGGTCGTCTTCAAGCGGTTGTGGATTTGGAGGGCGTCTTCTCAGAATGGCTATCTGTCACTGCTGGCGTCCCGCAGGGATCTGTCCTTGGACCGCTCCTTTTCTCTCTCTTCATCAATGATATCGGCGCGTTTCTAAGGTTCACAGAACATTTGATATTTGCCGATGATACGCAAATTTATCGCAGGTGCCTCTTAAGTCAATTAAATGCCGGGCTGCAATTTGTGGCGCATGATGTGAATGTTGTCTCTGAATTTGCGGCTGCAAATGGATTGACCCTCAATCTCAACAAATCCAAGGTATTAATATTTGGGAGCAAAGGTTATATCAAACAACTCAACCTCAATGACCTTCCTCTTATTTCCGTTGGTGGTATTTCGATTTCCTACGTTACCGAAGCGCGAAATCTGGGCGTCATTATGAGATCTGATCTATCTTGGGATAGCCATGTCTTCCATATCTCCAAAAGAGTCCACTTTACGCTATACAAGCTCAAGTTTCACAAAAACTCCTTATCTCGTCAACTTCGTGTGAAACTTGTGACCGCACTCATCTGGCCTTTGCTCGACTACTGTTCTCTTGTGTACAATGATGTCACCGACGAGCTTGACACTAGATTGCAAAGGCTTATAAACTGTGCGATTCGCTTCATATTCAATTTAAGACGCGACGAACATATCACGCCTCTTCGTCACCAACTGGGATGGTTGTCCGTAAAGAACAGACGACTCTATTTCTTGGGAATCGAGATGTATAAGATATCCCGCGGCATATCTCCAGGTTACCTTTCCGACATTTTCATCAAACCTGATTCCTTGATCAGACGTTCGTCACGCCTGGTAGTGGAGCACGCATTTCAAATTTCCACCCACAGGACGGAAACATATCATAGATCTTTCCATCTTGCGGGTATCTATTTGTGGAACTCGCTTCCTGCAGAGATTGTGTCCTCATCGACTATCATTGAATTCAAACGAAAGCTCCACAACCACATCTTTTCCCTTGAGTCTGGTTCTGTGCCTGCTTCCACTCTGGGGCAATCAAGCGTTTGAACACGGGTCATATTTAATCTAGTCGCCTTAGTCAGTAATTTAGTTTTAGTTTTAAGCTACTTCATTGTACATTTTGCGTTAATTTTGCCAATATTTGAGCATAATCCTTATCCAATCTAGTCGCCTCACGTAGTTAGTCACTCTAGTTGTCATTTCATTATAATTATTGCGATTTTGTTTCTTTCGTCTGCGAGATTGGTGCACACACTGTCACCATTATCATGTCATTTTCGATATTTTTTGTTCACCGTTATTATGTTATTTTTTGATATTTTTATTGTTATTGCCATGTACACGGCGGCCTTGTGTTTTTATTGCCATGTACACGGCGTTCTTTTGTACATTTTTTTTTAATTGCCTAAAGTCCTGACTATGGCATAAATAAATATCTATCTATCTATCTATCTCTACGACCTGGCCTGCGTTCAGAAACTTTTACCCAGGTAGAGTAGGAGTAGAGTTAGAGTTGACTTCGGGTTACTGTCGTTTATGGACGACGAAAGTAACATCACGGGTTAACATGGCGCTCTCCCATCAAGCATTGAATATGAGTGAAAATATGGCAGCGCATCAGGAAAATAGTGTCCGTATCAAACGAGCTATTTCTTTTGTAATAGCACAAATCGCTGCTCAAGCCGCTAATTATTGGACCATTATGAAGGCATCAGAGGTAAGTTGTTATCTACAAAATAATGTAATAATATTAGTCGGAAGACAATTGATATATTAATGTCAAGTTCGTTAACCCATTGCCATTATGAGGTTAGGATTGACAAATTTTTACTGATGGAAAGCATTATACGTTTTTTATATATATACGAGGTTTATGTAGTATTAGATAGTCTTTATTTTCAATGGAGCATTGACAATATAATTGAGAATGAAAATAATAAGTTAAAATAATAATAAGTAAAAAATATATTAAGAATGATATAGTTTAATTTTAAGTAACATTAAAGCAAATGATTACATTTATGTACAACCTAATAGACTCACTATCGTAATTAATAAATCAGTAAGTGACCTTCACTAATTTTTGTTTACTTTAATCAAGCGATGTATGATAATTAAATTTTAGGAGGATGATGACGAAGAGGAATTGTTTTGCCTTATAGCATTGGAAAAGGGAAATACGCCAACACGCATTACTGGATATATTGAGAATGTGGTGTCGAATTACACGTCCGTTCAATTCCAACAACATTTCAGAGTACCACTTGATACTTTTGAGGATTTACTACAAATGATTGGATGTATGCTAATAGGTGATGATAATCGACAGGGCCGTCCAATGATCGACCCTCGGAAACAATTACTTTCTGCAATTTGGCTCCTTAGTACACCAGACTCATATAGGTATTTATTTATGGTCTTTTTTATTGGTATTTTATTTATGCAGACAAAAATTATAACAGAAATAAATAGTTGACAATGTTAGATCACGGTATGTTAGAATGGTTTTCTATAAGGACACTGCTTGAATTGACACATATTCACTTTACAGTCCCGCATAAGCTACAAAACGTTACAGAAAGATTGTGACATTGGAACGAATAAAGCTCCTTATATCCTTTCTATTTATAGTTTTCTGTAAAAACGTTATATGCTCCAAAATATTGATCATACACAAAATTTTCTTTTCTAGATCCATTGGAGATCGATTCAACATGGCAAAGTCTTCATTGTCAGCATCATTTGTTCGAGTGGTTACAGCGTTGTGCAGAATTGCACACCGATTCATTAAATGGCCTCAACGAGCTGAAATAGAGGAGATCAAAGAAAAGTTCCAAAAACTTTCTCATATTCCGGGTGTACTTGGCGCGATTGACGGAACATATATCCCTATTAAAGCTCCACAAATAGATCCAGAGGTGTATATAAATCGGAAATGTTTTTATGGCATTACTCTGCAAGCCATCTGCGACCCATCGTTGAAATTTATAGATTGTTTTGCTGGCTATCCAAGCTCCGTAAGCGATGTCAGAATATTTCGTAACTCGGATATCTATGCACAAATAAGTGGTGAACCGCAAGCTTACTTCCCAAATGGGGAGTTTTTGTTAGGAGACAAGGCCTACCCTGTACTAACCTGGCTTATTCCCCCGTACATCGACAGAGGGAACACTACCGAAATTCAAAGGCACTTTAATAGAAATTTGGCAAGCACTAGACAGGTGATTGAGAGATCTTTTGCGTTACTGAAAGGTCGTTTTAGAAGATTAAAATATCTGGACATGAATCGTACTGATTTGATACCTGCTACGATATTAGCATCATGTGTTCTGCACAACATGTGTATCGATCATAATGATTTATTTATAGAAGAATATGTCATTGAGGGAATGAACAATGACAACCAAGATGCAGAGCCGATCAATCCCGTACATGGAGCTGTGCCTGGTGAAAATAATGGACATCAGAAAAGAAACGAATTAGCCGAGTTATTGTATTACCGAGTCTAGCTGATGTAGAAATAAAGTACCCATTTTTATACTATTGTATGACGTATTCTATGAATAAAAAAATAAGTATTGTGTAAATAATTACTTGGCGTCGAGACGTTGCTGCATCCTTTCATAATAATATTCAATGTCTTTTTTACGAAATAAAAATATGTATTTGGTCAATAAGATTCGTTAATACTTTGGTGCATCACACTATTTTAGTGTAACATACAATGCAATATTACTTGCAATAATACAGTTTTTAAACTCACATAAATTATGTATGTAATACTACATTTTAAACAAAACTAAAGAGATGATAATTTTAATCTTAAACTAACAATAATATAAAAAGATTACAAATCTAATTTTTGGAAACGTATAAAATAATTACCAATGAATTATTAAGGCTACTGTGGTAAAAACTAAATTGCTCAATGACATTCTAAAGGCCTATCCAGACAAACTTGCATAGCTGCATAACCGTTTGCATAAAAAAATTTATCCAATTGGATTTCTATCATGAGGACGCACTTAAAATGCGATTGGATTATTTTTTTTGTACATATGGTTCTGCAGCTATGAAAGTTTGTCTAGCTAAGCCTTAATACTTCAAGCTATTGCACCATATCCGTGCAACATACAATATAATATCACTTTCCATAATTGAAACTAATGTTAAAGTTTTGAATCGCAGATAATATCACTTTGCAATCACATAGTTTGCAATTAACATAACAAACATAAAATATGAAAGACAACGTCTTGAAACAAAAATACACTTAATCTTACATGTTAAACATTTTTTCCGTGTCGTGTTTCATGTATCACTTAAGACATAAAGTTCTGAAATTCATGTAACAAATAGTTCAATACTATATCTTTTATCTTTGCTTATTCCGAAATATCAACTGTATCACAGAACATAAGGAAGCGGAGCTTGTTACAATTGGAGCTCCTCCTGTGGTCAGTACGTCGGTGTGTGACATTACATTAGTTTCAATCTACAATAAATGTAGTAAGCCTCAAGCCGTAAGAAATTGACAAATTACAGACATATGTGAGAAAAATAACTGTGATTTGTCAATTTCTTACGACTTGAGGTTAGCTACACTTATTATAAATCGAAACTTATAAAGCCACTCCAGTCAGTCTTGGTAGTCAGTCATCATTGTACTACAACTTCTTGATAAGATTGTCCATTGAGTTAATCAAGCGATCAGTTTGTTCTTTGTGAGCAGCCAATAATCTCTCTTGCCTGAGATCTTGCTGTGTTGACTTGTGCTCTATTGCCTTCTTCATCTCGTCGACAGCGTTTTCGAATTTCGTTTTTTTTCCTTTATTTCGCGTGGGCGTTGCCTCAGCACGACGTTTTCTCTCTTTTATGTCATTGGTAGATGCTTCGTTTTCATCACCATCATCTTTAAATATGTCATCATCATCGACTGCGTTAAGAATGTTCAACGACGCTGATCCTCTTGTCGCAGAGGCTAATGCAACTGGCTCGACATTTGGCTTCTGCCCAAATATTTCATGAAATATATCAAAGTAGTCAAATCGTAAAGCCGGTGCCCCAGTTTGCTTAGATTTCATATTGTCGATTTTGGCGTGATATCGTTTTTTTAAATTCTTAAATTTGTTCTCGCACTGCTTATGCGTATATAAATAGCCGTTCATGTGCAAATTAGATGAAATCTTTTTCCATATCTCGATATGCCCTTTAGTATTTATCTGGAAGCTTGTGGCGTGATCTTTGTACTCAGCCATTAGAGCTGTAATGGCATTGGGAGCCCAATTCGCTTTATCGTTGGTAGCGTCTTCTTTGTTAGCATCCTTTGAAGGCCCCGAGTCACAATCGTCTCGTCTCGATGTTGCAACTGCTTCAATGTGGTGATGCCCCTGCCATTGCACGGTAGATTGCACCTGGCTCCTTGGAACTTGAGTGTTTGATGGAGAAAGAAATGTTGAATTTTGATCTTTCAAAGGCTCCTTACATGGTTTGTTTATCAATCCCTCAAATAGCTTTACGTACATGAAAGTTTGGTCTGAAATTGAATAGAAAAGAAAATAGAAATTGTCATGTGCTTGTTAAAATAATGAAGTAGAGAGCCTCTAATCATTAGAGGCTCTCTATAATAAAGTGTAGTGCGGAAAAATTTCAAAGAGATATATAAGAGATATATAATTTCAAAGAGATTTTTAAGAGATTCACCATATAAATCCACTGATACTGTTTTCAGTCACAGTTGCAAACAATTTGCTATTACAATTATTAAGGTACGGTTAATTAATAATTGAATTTTATATAATATCGATAGTCTAAAGCTAATTCGCCTATATAGTCATCTATGCTCATACAGACTTGAAATGTCTTTTTTCTATTACAATCCATTGATATGAAAGTAATTCTGTTAATCTCTATCAGTTTCTATGTCAACTTACTTGCCGTATTTTGAACGAGGACTAACCCGTCCTTGTTGAAAATTTTATTTCCTTTTTTATCTGTCACAAATACAATTTCTTGTCTGTTTTTAGACATTTTTCTCAATTTGCAATTAACGAAACGTATCCCTTTTTGTTCGCCGGTTCTTGTGAATAACTTTAACCTAAAAAAGGCGTGTTTCGAGAACATGCGTTATGTGCCCCTTATGTGACGGAATCTATGTGCGCATGTCGAGTAATTTCTACCTACCTCCTCGACGTGGGTAGAAATAGTTAACTCGAGAGTTGACTCAAGCGTGTTTCTGAACGCCACAAATGGGTCAACTCGGCATTTCTGAACGCCTCGAGTTAACTAGAGTTAACTCGAGTAAGGTTTCAGAACGCAGGCCTGGTTGTGCGAGTGACTGTGTAAAGGCTTCAGGCTATTGGCTGCGCCGTGAAGTGTCCACTGGCGCGCATGCGCTTGTTACAGAACCGCATGAGACTTAGTATAGTTGTAGAGCGTCGTAGTTGCATTGTGTGACATAGGCCGTCCAAGAATTATGGAACCGCGTACATGTGCCAGATGTAAAAAGACGATCGCTAATCAACTACTTGAGTGTGTGGAGTGTAAGAGGATCTTCCATCCTGGTTGTGTCAAACCGTATGCTACAACAAAATATGCGGATACGTGCTGCAAGTCTCTTGCGGCCTTATTAGACACACCTCTTACACCTATCTCTGAACCGAGTGCACACTCTTTCGATTTTACGAGTGGATCGTCGGCCACTCAGGGACAAGCGCAGTTGCAGGAGCAGATCGCGACCAATGTGCTGCTGCAAAGACTATCTGACCAACTGAGGGAGTCAGACGCTAAGCTTTCGGCTTTTATTGAAGATCAGAAGCGTATTAACGTCGAGATTAGTGATAAACTGAATAGACTTGATCTTATTGCTAACACGGTTGCCCAGAGTGCGTTGCGCATCGATAGACTTGAGCAGGAAAGTTCTGCTCTTGCTTGTGATATTCGGGACTTGAAGGCTGCTCAGTCTGTTCCGCACACTCGAGATGAAAACGAAAACAAACTAGTTATCTCGGGAGTCCCTGAAGGGTTGTCGATCACTCCTTTGGAGCTGGTCAGTAATGTATTTAAAGTATTGGATATTCCAGACCTCTCTAGCCACGTTCTCGGCATTAGACCTATGGCGCGGAAACCGCGAGTGACCGTAACTTCTGACAGTCCTTCGAGCCCCGTAGGTACAGACTCGCTCATAGTCACCCTAACTTCTGGTGCAGTCCGTGATACAGTAGTAGCCAAAAAGAAAGTAAAACGGTCTCTTAAACAGCGTGAGGTCTGTGACGTTGACTCTGACCGTAACATTTATGTGAATGAGTTGCTGCTTAGGGCCACGTATGATTTGCTGCAGCGGACTAGACGTGTTGCTAGAGATAAGTCTTATAAGTATGTCTGGATGAGAGGATGTCGAATATGTGTCAGATTATCTGATGGCGCTCCGATTATCTTTATTGACTCCGACTCAGACCTCGCCAAGATTAATTGACAGAACCGAACACGTTGCGCGACATCCCCTGCTATTCATCACGCTTCAGCATGCTGCCTCCGCGTAGCTCAGTTTAATGCGAATTCACTTCGTGGTCACATAGACTCAGTAAGACTGCATTTTAATTCTAATGTATACCACATTATCTCCGTGTCCGAAACATGGCTAAATGCTGAGGTTGCTGATGATCTCGTGGCCCTGGACGGTTACTTTCTGATCCGACATGATCGCGTTGGTATGAGGGGTGGTGGAGTTGCCTGCTATATTCACAGCTCAATGAGGGTTGCGGTTATTGCCACTTCTGCAAGAGGTGATGTGAATGCTCCCGAATATCTCATTTGTGAGATACGTCTACCGAATGATGAGTCTGTTTTATTTGCATCGGTTTATAGGAGACCAAAAGGCCTTCTCCTGAGTGAATTTACTGAGGCACTCCTTAGTGTATCGCACCTATATAAAAATGTAATTATTGGCGGTGACTTTAACTGCAACCTTCTTACAAGCAACTTTGAGGCCGACTATTTCCGCGAACTCATGTCAAGTATGGCGATGCATATAGTACAGTCGGAGGCTACGCATCACACAGCCTCCGCCGACTCGTGGCTTGATGTTTTAGCGGTGGATGACAGTGAAAAAATAATGTCGTTCACTAAATCTGAGTGTCCGTTCATAGCTGGTCATGACCTTATAGAGCTGTCGCTTTCTCTGAGCACTAAACTGGAAATTGAGCGTACCATTACGAGGCGTAGTTATAGATCCATTGACTATAACGAGTTTTGTGATCATCTTCACTCTGTAATTAATTAACCTTTATCCGTCGTGACCGGTGGAGCTGGCGTGGAGCCAGATGACCGGATGGGCGTCGTGGATGCTGAGGGGCTTTGTGTGAGATTGTCGGACACTCTACTGCAAACATTAGACGTGTTTGCCCCTAAGCAGATATTTACGGTTAAGAGGCCCCCGGTACGATGGCTCACGGATGAGCTAAGGGCTAAGATTCGTACTCGAAATCGGCTATACAACCAGGCGAGGCGTTCCGGAGGTTTACTTGACTACGCCACTTACAGACTTTTCCGAAACCAACTTAATTTAGATATCAAACGTGCTAAAAGTGAATTTCAGCTTAATACTCTCAAAGATATCACTGACCCTGCTAAACTTTGGAGAGAACTAGCACGGTTAGGTCTTGCGAAGTCAACTTTGGTCTCCCCTTTACACTTTTTCACATCCAATCAATTAAATTCATTCTATGTTTCGGTCTCTAATGCTCAGCCACCTTGCTTGTATACAGACTTTAGTACTACTGTTGCTTTGATGACTCGATCATCCCAGAGACCAGAGTTCGTGTTCTCTGCAGTAACACCCGATATGATCCTCAAACTTATCTCAAGTGAACCACTCCATTCCTATGCATCTGGTTCAGATGGTATACCGCTCTGTGTTCTTAGGATTGCATGGCCTGTAATTTCGTCGCGTCTCACTGCTTTGTTCAACTGCTCATTAGAAACTTCTTCTTTTCCGCCTCAATGGAAGCGTGCGCTAATCCGCCCTCATTCGAAGATTCGCATTTCATTGTCCCCATCTGATACAAGACCTATAGCCAATCTACCAGAGCTGTCAAAATTACTGGAAAGGATTGTGGCCTCACAAATCGCCGATTACTTAAGCAAGCATAACATCATTAATCCTAGACAGTCTGCATATCGACCGTGTCACAATACACAGACAGCGCTTCTGCGGGTGTGCGATGACATCAGGGAAGGTATCGATAGTGGTCTTATCACAATTATGATCCTCTTCGATTTTAGTAAGGCGTTTGACACCGTTCCACATCTCATACTACTTATCAAGTTGAGGGAGATCGGATTTTCTGATGCAGTTCTTATGTGGATTTTTTCGTACCTAACAGGCCGTTATCAGTCTGTGGTTGATGACGCTGGGAATTTCTCGGAGTGGCTATATACGTCATCGGGTGTTCCTCAAGGCTCCGTGCTCGGGCCACTTTTATTCCTTTTGTTTATCAACGACATAGGAAAGGTGCTGCGGCATGCGCTGCACATGATATTTGCTGATGACATTCAGGTTTATTTCTCATGTTTGCCGGCCAACATCCGTCATGGATTAGAGTTAATCTCAAAAGATGCAAATGCTATCTATGATTATGCGGAATCTAACGGACTGAAACTTAATCCGGCTAAATCTAAGGTGATGATCTGTGGCAGTAATGCTTATGTAAGGAATATTGATCTTAGTCTTTTACCTCCCATTATGGTAAACAGTGTACCTATCCCGTTTGTTAGTGAAGTAAGAAACTTAGGTGTTACTTTCACACCCACTCTGTCTTGGAAGAAGCATATTTCGCATGTATCGCAGAAAGTGCACCATGCGTTGTACAGGTTAAAATTTAACAAGAACTCCCTTTCCACTGAACTACGAATTAAACTAGTTGTGACGTTGATCATACCACATGTTGACTATTGTTGCCTCGTCTATAATGGCTTGAGTAATGAGTTAAATATAAAGTTGCAGAGACTTGTGAATTGCTGTATACGTTACATATTTAATCTCAAGCGGGATGAACATATTACGCCCTATAGGCGTCGACTCGGATGGCTCTTGGTTGAGAATAGGAGATTGTATTTTCTCGGCTGTCAGGTTTATCGCATCTTGTTCCTACAATCTCCAAACTACCTGAGTGAGCTTTTCACTTCACCTGATTCGTCGCTTAGATCAGATCGCCTTCCCAGCTCGTCACGGACCTTTCATATACCGACATGTAGAACAACAACTTATTGGAACTCTTTTCGTCTCTCTGCAATACGTTTTTGGCACTCGCTTCCTAATAATATAACATCCGCGTCCTCTCTTCCGGTCTTCAAAAACCTCCTCCGATTGCATTTGTTTGCATCTGAATCTGGTTAAAGCTTCGCTTTTGGTTTATGGGTTAAGATTTGGTGGTGTGATGACACCACTACCTAGTCATATAAGTTAGTGGCTGTGTTATACATATATACGTTGTAATATTAGTTTAAGGTTATATTATGTCAGTGTTTAACATGATGTCTGCATTTGTTAGTTTAAGTATGAAATGCACTGAACGTGCCATTGTAGTGCACTTATTGCTTCTCTTGTTAATTATGTATCTGCAATTTATATCTTGCCCTTTAGCAAATGTTTGGGCATAAATAAATTTAATCAATCTCTCTCTCTCTCTCTCTCTCTCTCTCTCTCTCTCTCTCT